GAGAGATGTGGTCCTTGCAGATGAGTGGCCACCTGCTGTTTCTGAGCAGGCACTGCTGAAGGAAAATCCTCCAGAAATGAAAGCGCCGGAGGAGAAGACATTTGAGCAGAGAGAGCCACCAAAACAGGAGACACCACCAACTTATTTCCCTCATGTGGGAGCCCTGTACAAAGAAGGTGTAGAAAATGAACAAGGAGAAGCCCTTCTCAGAGCTAGCCAGCTAGGGGATACACTCCAGGCCAAGACGCAGCCCCAAAGCACTGGGAAACCAGAAGCGACACGGGCAGAAGAAACAAGAGGAGACATGGGTATTTTTCAACAAGAGGAGAAGCAAACGAGCAGTGTGAAAGCGAACGAGGATGCAATCCCCAAACTGGGAGGCCAAGGGTACCAAGCTAATGTGACACCAGAGCAGCCAGGCAGAGCTGCTAAAGCCACCACGGAGACCTGCCCTGATCCAGACCATCTTTATAACGTGTTGTTTGTGGGGGACTCAAACGTTGGCAAAACATCGTTTCTGTACCGGTTACATGAGAATTCCTTCAACCCAAGCCTAACTGCTACTGTAGGTAAGAATCCCACAGCTTCCATTAAGCATAAATACAGTCCTGTAGGGACATAGAACCGGGGCGGCTCCAGGCACCAGCGCAGCAAGCGCGTGCCTGGGGCAGCAAGCAGCGGGGGGCGATGTGCCGGTCACTGTGAGGGCGGTAGTCAGGCAGCCTTCGGCAGCATCCTGCAGGAGGTCCGCCGGTCCCGCGGCTTCAGCGGCGGGCATGCCCAAGGTGCGGGACCGGCAGATCACCCACAGAGACGACGCCGAATCCGCGTGACCCACAGACCGCCCGCAGGCATGCTGCCGAAGGCCACCTGACTGCCGTGCTTGGGGTGGCAAAAAGCATAGAGCCGCCCCTGCATAGGACTTGTCCTGCCAAATCAAACCAATGATGGATTAAGTCAGAGCCTCCAGGAGTGGCCAATCATTGATGCATGAGAGGAAGTTGAGAGACACACCTCCACATATTTAAGATGGATTTGTACAGATATACCTTGAGCTTGGGCACATTACCATTCTCAGGCCCCAATCCTGCACTCTGATCTGTGCATGGGTTCCCATTGACCTCACTGGGATTCTGCAGCAGCAAGGGGCTGGCTGTGCGGACCGGACTGCAGGATCGGCGATAAACATTAAATAAAGCACCCGACCCATTGTACAGGGGGGCAATGGAGCAGAAATTCTCCCTGGTCCATGCACCGGTTAGCAGAACATGCCCAACTCTTACTCTTATTAGTCATCATAAAACTAACCAGACCTTTTTAAAACCCAGCCACTATTCTGGCATTTTAATCTAAGAAGAGACTATTGTGATCATCTAGGCTGGCCATAGAATATCATCCTATCACTCCTGCCCCACGTCCATCTCTCATGGCTGAATTCTACTGCATTACAAATGTGCTGTATGCCCTAGGAATGGATTATCGGGTCAAAAACCTTTTTGTGGACAACAAGTGCTTTGCTCTACGCCTATGGGACACGGCTGGCCAAGAAAGGTAAGGCACAGTGCTGTACATACAAAAAAGAATGCGTACAGGGAAATATGTGTCGGATAAGGAAATCCACATAAATATATGCTCACACAAGACATTTGAAAGGATAAAGTCGAGGTGAAGAATAAACATCCCAGCTCAGTGGGGCAGGACTGAATTTAGGGAGACCTTTAGTCCCCAGGGCTGTCAGTACGGCCCCTCTCATAAGTGCTGAAGGCCAAACCTTGGTACCACTCAACTCAAGGCAAACGCCTGCTGATTTCAGAGAGGCCAGGATTTGACCCTACATTCACAAATACGTGTGTGTGTTTACTACATATGCGTGTGCATGTATATCTACTTAGTATATCAGGGTTGGAAGGGACCTCAGGCGGTCATCTAGTCCAACCTGCTGCTCAAAGCAGGGCCAATCCCCAGCCAGATTTTTGCCCCTAATGGCCCCCTCAAGGATTGAGCTCACAACCCTGGGTTTAGTAGGTCAATGCTCAAACCACTGAGCTATCCCTCCTTTGTGGATATATGTATTTGTAAACATATACACATATTATGTAGTGTGTGTATTTACTCTGTTTATGTATGTACATAGACACACATATTTGTCTGTATTTTGTGTGTTTATATGTATATGGTATACACACACAATATAATGTGTGTGTATTTACTCCGTGTGTATGCATACACACACACACAACTATAATTACCTGTTATCTATCTATAAACACATGCACACACAGTTAAGGCTCTGCAAAACTGTAATAAATTTTGAAATGTATTTCTGCTGAAGCTTTGCAACCCCCCGCCCATATTCTCCCCCAGTTTCACTTATCTATCAAACTTCGCAAAATGGTGTCTTCGCTTCACACCTTTGCAGGAGGGAATATTTGCATATTTTTGCACATTTGCATTTTCAGTTTTGTTACCATGGTTTTGCACAACCCCTACTTGAAACACACTTTGTATGTACTTGTGGGTTTTTTAAACCTCTGGATTGCTGTTAAAAATGGTGCAAAAAGAGTATGTACCTAAGTGTAAAAAGCAAAAGTGCTTTCTGACAGGTACCATAGCGTCACCAAGCAGTTCTTCCGAAAAGCTGACGGAGTGGTGTTGATGTATGATATTACTTCAGAATACTCCTTCGCAGACGTGCGGTACTGGCTGAGTTGTATCCAGGTAGGTATAATGGGTGAAATCCTGGCTCCATTGAAGGTAATGCCAAGACTCCCAGTGACTTCAATGGGACCAGGCTTCCACCCTATAATTCTTTATGCTTTATTAGTTCTTTCTATCTGAGGAGTTCCAAGTACTTCACAAACATTAATGAACTGAGACTCATTTCTCCTCTGAAAGGTAGGTGAGTAGTATTATCCCCATTTTACAGGTGAGAAACTGAGGCACGTAATATGCCCGATGCTGCACAGTGAGTCAGTGGAGCACTGGGGCTGGAACTCATATCTCTGCTTTAGCTACAAAACCATCCGACCCATGTGAATGCTGTAACGGAATCATGATGGGCACAGGGCCAGATCCTTAGCTGGTTTAAATCAGGATAGCTTCATTGAAGTGACACCAATTTACATCATCAGAGAATCTGGCCCAAAGAGTCTACATGTTTCTTCACTCTGGCTTTTCCTTCCTTTCATAAGGGTGGGTGTTATGGACCATATTCTGCAGTGTAAACTCTGTGATGCTGTTCTCTTCAACTGAGTTACTCCAGATCAGTGGTTCCCAAACTGTAACAACCTGTGAACCCCTTTCACTAAAATGTCACGTCTCGCAAATCCCCTCCTAAAAATGAATATTTCCAGGGATTTTCTCCTTTACCTGAGTATAAATTATAAAAAGCCGTGATCTTGGAAATAAAAAAAAAATATGACATGCTTATTACCCACTATTTATTATTAATTATTATTTATCATTACAGTATTTTTATTACATTATGAAAACTCCTCCAAGATCTCACTTTCGTAGCTTGTATCACTTTGAATAAGCCTGTTATAAGACGAGGCTCCCATGTTTCATCAAGGAGTATCAGATGTGAAACAGCATAAAGGTATTTAAGAAGCCAACTCAAAGAGTTCCTCCTACACAAGCATTCAGGTCTTGAGCAGTCCAGGCAAATAACGCATGTTACAACAAAGTTTAAACTTGTTCTTCATAATAATTTTAAAAATACTAGCTGCCTATTTAATTTTAAAAACAGCAAAAAATATCCACCTCCCTTTCCATTTCGTATAATGAGTCTTGATGTTTAAATCTCCTCAGTGTGATAGATATGCTTGCTTTGATCTGCTTCTCTTTTGGAAGTCCAGGGGCTCCAGGCTGCTGGCCCTGTGCTGCCCGGGGTCCCTGGGGACAGCTCTGTCCGCCATTAGGGAATTTTTTCTCCACAACCCCCTGTAACATTTCGTGAACCCCCAGGGGTTCCCGAACCCCAGTTTGGGAACCACTGCTCCAGATTAACCCCAGTGTGATTGGAATCTGAATTTGGCTGGGTGATAACACTCCCCTCCTTCCTGGTTTTAAATGCACTAAGTTCAAGATAGGTTCTTCTGGGATGGCTACCCTGGATGATACAGCTGGTGTCAGAGGGAGTCCAATGGCAGGGTCATTGGATGCTCATTATTGCACTGGCTTGCTCTGTCTCATATATGTGTCTACACAGCAGGCAGGAGGTGTAATTCCCAGCACAGCTCGAGCTAGTACCTAAAAATTCCAGCATGGCCACTGCAGGATGCGTAGGGGCTCGGGCTAGCCGCCAGAGTACAATCAATCCTGCCTGACTCCTTGGGTACACAGCCCGAGCTGCCATGACCACACTGTTTTTAGGCCCTGGTTTGGGCAGAGCTAGTGCGTACATGCCTACTCACGCTGGGGATTACATCTCCCAGTTGCTGTGTAGACATACCCAGAGACATACTGCCATAGCCTAAGGAACTATTTAAATATATCTACCAGGCATAACCAGGAAACACGTCTGTCTGTTCAACTAGGAGAGGCGGTGAGCTTTAAAGTACGTTTCTACTGCAAAAAAGGAGTATTCTTAACTTGGGTTAGACTGGCAGTGAAGCCATGGCAACTCAACTTTGAACTCTGGGCTTGAATTCATGCTGCTAACCCAAATTAAAGCCGAGTTGTCATGTCTTCATTGCTATTTTAATCTGAGTTAGCTAATGTGGTTTAGTTAACCTGAGTCAACAACACACCTTTTTTTGCAGTGTAGACATACCCTTAGCTGTTGAGTGGGGGACTGGAAACGAGGACCCCTAGATTCTATTCCCAGCTTGGTCTCGGACTTGCTGTTTGACTTTCAGTGAGCCACTGCACCGCTCTGTGCCTCAGTTTCCCAGCTGTTCAATGGGAGAGGGAGGGTTGTGAGGCTAAATTAATTAGTGCAAGAGGCTCTGAGATCTTTAAATGCTATATTCTTAAAAAGAAACACATAGTCATTTTAGAAGACAGGGCCAAATTCTGCCCTGACCTAGACCTCATCAAACCCAGCTATACTCAGCCAGACTGATTGGGGCAGAAATCAGAGCAGAATTGGGCCACCTATATTTTATGAATCATGTTTAGGATGAATATATTGGTACAAGAAAATAGTCAAGAGAGGAACAAGGGCATTGGTACTGGGACTATTCGTTTTTTGAAAAAGACAAACAATCCATGTACTTGATGAAAAATGCCATGAAATTTTTATCAGCCCTCAGTATCATTATCTAGCCAGATTCACCCATGATGTAATCCCCATCAAACATACTGGAATGACATAAGGAATGAACTCAACCCATGTCTTATGCTAAGCTAGGAATGCGGATGGAAGAAACATTTGTGAATTTCAACGTATGCAGCTGTATCCGACCAGATCCTCAGATGGTTTTAATTGATGTAACTCCATTATGTCAATGGAGCTACACTGATTTGCATTAGTCTGCATCTGGCCACATGAGGTTTGGGATTTGCAGTAGCAAGTAACTGAAGAGTGGCAGGGTCTTTCTTTGGTGTCATAATAATACTAGCTCTTATATAGCACTTTTCATCCACAGATCACAAAGTGCTTTACAAAGGAAGTCAGTATTATTATCCCCATTTTACAGATGAGGAAACTGAGGCACAGCAAGGGAAAAGGTTACTCAGCAGGCCAGAGCCTGGAATAGAACCCAGGTCTCTTGAGTCTCAGTCCAGCGCTCTAGCCACTAAGCAAAACTATTCCATCAATGTGGGCCAAATTTTGCCCTTGACCCTTGACACTCACAGTTCCCACTGAAGTCTGCTGCAGGCACCTACATGCTTATGAGGGCTAAATTGGCCTTATCTCTTATGGAGACAATGCTGTGGCTGCCAAGATGGGTGCTTTAAGAATTCCCTGTAGAACTATACCACTAATACCCTTATTCTTGTTTAGGGAAAAGTCTCACGGGTTCTTTAATAACCATGAAAGGTCACAGCCTTGATTTTGCATCTCATCCATGAGCTGGCTATAAATTGGAAATTTTTCAGATTTTTTTTTTTTGGTCAATTGGCCATTGACATTGGCCACTGTTTAAGACAGGATACTGGGCTAGATGGAGCTTTGGTCTGACTCAGTATGGCCATTCTTATGTTAATTAATAGCCTCTATTCTATCATTCATTTATTTATTTTGCAATAAAGGTTCATTTTTTCCATATTTTGCACAATATTTTCCTGATGTTGTTTATGAAAACATTGTCAAAAGGGCTATCAACTCTTTTTTGTTTTGATTTGGGGGAAATGAAGGATTTTGAAAATGATTTCTGTAATGTTTTTTATTTAAAAAATTGCAAAAAAAAAACAATTTTTTTTAAAGAAAATGGATCAGCTTTGAACCCTGAGGAATGGAAACAAAGTCAGTTTTTTCATTAAATTTTTTAATTAATTTTTCAACCTACTCTGGGGTCGGTTGAAACTATTTCAACAAACTTCCAAGGGAAGTGGCAGATTCTCCATCTCTTCATGGCTTCAAATCAAGACCAGATGCCTTTCTGGAAGAGATGCTCTATCATGTAAACCCAAGCCCCATGGACCAAATCCATGCAGGTCAGTGGGGTTACTCTAGGCTTTGCCCTGATGTGTTCAGAAGCTGTGTAGGGCTATGATTTGAAGAAACTGTAGATCCCATTATGGTCAATGGCAAAACTTCCACTGACTCCACTGGGGCCAAGATTTCACCCCACCTGTCCTGTTTCACAGGAAGGAGCAGGAGATGGAGTTGTCATCCTTCTACTTGGTAACAAAACAGACTGTGCCACAGAAAGACAGGTATCTACTGAAGAGGGTGGACGCTTGGCTAAGGTATGTGAACAGATCTATTGGCGTTTACCATCCATTTAAATTCTTTCACCATCCTTAGTTGGGGGTCGGGGAGTTAAAAGAATAAAGCAAAACCAAGGCTATAGTTAAGCCACCGTGACTGACAGGATAGGCATTTCCTTCCATTAACAATTAGTGTGGGAATTGAGGACCTGAGGCAAAGCAGAAAGCCCTTAACTCATCGTCTGGTCATTAATTGCCAGGAAATGACCACAGAACCATATCTTGCTCCTTGTGTTTTTGTCTCCTCCTGCTGGCCTTGTTTTAACTCTGGCAAGCTATTCCCTGGCCCTCCTCCACTGAACCCCAGCAGAACAGCTTACAGGATCAGGGCCTCAGGCTGTAAGGTTTTTGAGGCAGGGAATCTGGCCCAGATCCTCAAAGGTATTTAGGTGCGTAATTCCCTTGATTTCAGTGGGAGTTAGGCTCCTACATGTCTTTGAGGATCTGGGCCTATCTGCACCGTAACATGCCAGGCACCTCTCCAGCACTATGTAAATAATAAAAGCATAAAGCAATTACTGAATTATCCCTTTTGAAAGATGCTTTATGTGTCCAAGCATTGATTCTGGTAACAGTCCGTGAGACGGACAAGTATCGTTCTCCCCATTTTACAGAACCCGGGACAGAGAGATGAAGTGACTTACCCAAGGACACACAGCAAGTCACTGACAGAGCCAGAAAGAGAACATTCTAGCTGACAACTCTGTGTTCAATCCACTAGGCAATGCTGCCTCTGTGTATGTCTATAGTATGCCAGGCTTTCCCTTGCCGTTAAAGATTAGCACTGAAGCTGCTGGGGAAGCTGGATTTCATTCTCAACATTCCTAAAACTTAATAATTACAATGTACAATTTTATTCACCTATGAGTTCCATACCGCAGCAGCAAGGAGACCCTCTGAGCCATGCATTTCCAACAGATCACCACCTTTCCTCGTGTAATTAGTCCCTCGTGATTTTTTTTTTTACATCCTATACAAACCATATCATTGCTCCAAATGCACCGACTCCCCCGTCTTTGGTTGTTTGATGATTATCTGGGAAAAATCATAGCACTTGCGCTCGACCTCTTTTAAATCTATGCAATCTATGGCTTGAACCTACCAAACAGTTCTGGAAGGGAAGTGCATTTGTGTGTGCCTTCTTGTGTCTTCCAGGAGTGTGAGCTCTTGTTTTATGAATGCAGTGCTGCGTCAGGCCACAAAGTCTCTGAATCTATGATTGACTTAGCCAGGTGAGCAGTGTGCCGTGGGATTGTTGACTGTCCTGAATTAATGGGTTGGGTCCTGATTTCCATTGCTCTTCTTCAGCTTTGCATGCTGAAGTGACCCCTGCAGCTGAAAGTTGTATATCCCCATGCTCCATAGATAATGTACGCAGCTCCTATGTGCCCCCAAAACTGGGGCTACACCAGTTTACCACAGCTGAGGATCCGGCCACAGGCGCAAAGATAAGAGTCTGTTCTAGCTGAGACAGGTTTTTACACTGCATAGTATCAGAGTACTTTCCAGTCATGTATTAAGCAACGTGACTAACATCAGTCACTTGTTTGTTCTCTCATCGTCTCCCCGAGCAGAGAAGCATGTGCAGTGGCATGGCTTGTTTTGGCAGGGGGGGTTGTTTTTTCCTTAAGTACATATGTTGGTCTGCGTTTATGTTGGAGAAGACAAGCTCAGAGAAGTGCATCTTGCACTTGGTGTGGAAGGTAGTGACGTCTGTGATGGTCTTTAGTTCATGGGGGAGTTCATTCCACTGTCCTGGCCCACAAAAATGGGCCCTAAATGGATTCTTCATTGGAATGTCAGGATGCACCTCAAACATTCAGCCCTGTAAAAGCAGGTTAACAAAACCATCAGTAATATGTTTTTGTGCCTACAACAGATTGTCGGAAGGAAGAACGGAATAGGGCATACCAGGCCCAGATCCACTTATGCTCCCCACTAAAAATGTCCAGTGTGACTTCTAGATGCTGCCAACCCAATCCCCTTCTCCCCATCACAGAATAACAAGACCTGAGGGCACCAAGGACCTTAGCTATTCCTCCTTCTCCTGGGGTGTTGTGCGGACAGTAGGTGGCTAGCTGGAAGCAAAAAGCCAGGCATCATTCTACCTGCTGTTGATAGGTTTACTGCTTTGCCTGGAGACAGCTCGCAATCTGGGCTCCAATCCTCAGGATGTTGCTTAACTACCCTATGGGTTGATTGACGTGAGCAGATTTGTTTTGACTGTGGCTTGATTGAAGTTGGAATTTTCAATGGAGCCTCAAGGAATAGGTGCCCAAATTCCATTGAATTGCTGTGAGAGTCGGGCACGCAACTCTTTTCAGATCCCTTGAACACCCCAGCCCTACCCTTTACTAGAGCTTTCCACGACAGATGATGATGTAGATTCCAAAGAGCAGGGCAATTAACTGGCTAATTTGTTTCATGTTTATCATGCCAGATCACTGAAAGCTCACGAAGACAGATTAAAAACTGAGGTGGTGGAGGTACCAGCGCCACCAAAGAAGAAAAGAGGTTGCTGCAGATGATCGAGAAACTCGGTGCTTTGATCAAAAAATACAGCCTGAAAGCATAAAAATGGCCCTCTCTTAACCTTCATCTCTGCTCCTCATGTCTGACTTTACTGATTCCCCTTAAGCGTTGCAGAACAAATGCAGTTATCAGGGAGTGAGTTGTAATCTGTCTCATTCATAGCTAATCTATTTCTCTGATTGCCTACCCCCACAGTATGTTAGGGCCTAACACATTAGTGGGCAAACATTATTTCTTTCATTAAGAGATCAAAACTGTGCTCCTCCATTGCTGCTACTGATGCAAGAAGCAGAAAGAGCCCAGCTGGATTTTCAGATCTCAGAATGAGTTTTGCAGCCAGCAGACAGAAAAATCCTCTTTGAGGGTGGAATTCGCTCTTATGCAGAGGGCCTGCGCAAAGCCTATGAGTGTATCGCAGGAGATCTCACAATTGGGTTTAAGTGGTGCAGGCACCTTTGCACAGTGGTGAATTTCACTCAGCATGTGTAAACTCAGAAAATCTGATCCAGATTCAATTGAGAGAGAATACACAATATGCCTCAATCTCATTTTTACAGTCATTTTTCCGATTGCACTTTATAAAGTAGGTCATCAGTTTGAAGTGTCTTCACATTTATAATATCTAGCTTTGCCCTCGCCTACATCTCATATTGTACTACACCAGCGGTCAATAGAGGATCCCTACAAAAATGGCTGCTAAAACTGTGATTAAAAAAAACAACACATAGAAAGATGGGTAGAAGGTACAGGATAATAAAATCACGTTGGAGCGATGAGTCAATTGGATAGTTTGATCAGCGGAACATTTGTGAGTCTATCATTTTCAATGGAGGGTACTTTGAGCAATGGAACAGCCTCCAGCGCAATGGATTGTTGCATTAGAACAGAGGTTCTCAAACTGTGGTCTGCGAGCTCCATTCAGGTGGTCCGCGGATAGTTTCCTCTAAGGTACATGCCCGGGGGACCGTACACAAGAGATTGAAGGGCCAGCCACCTAATAAATGGAGCCTTGCAAGCATGGCTCCACTAATTAGGTGCCTGGACCCTGGAGAAGACGGACATGTAAGGTGAGGTGGTGGCCTTGGGAGGAATAGGGGATAGGTGGGAGGGGGCAGTGGGGTGAGAAGAGGGGGTGGGGGGAATTTGGGACGTGCAGGGCTGCAACAGCCAGAGAAAGAGGCAACTTTCCCCAGCTCCAGGGTTGTGGCTGCCAGGGAGAGACCCCCTCTCCTTCCCAACCCTAGCTTGGGGGCTGCCGCGGCGGGGGAGAGAGGGAGAGACCCTCTCTCCTTCCCAGCCCAGCTTGGTGGCTGCTGCAGCAGGGGAGACCCCCGCTCCTTCCCAGCCCCAGCTCGGAGACTGTCGTGGCAGGGGAAAGAGGGCACATCCATCGCATTAGAAAGGCAAGACTAATGATATTAAAATATGAGTTGTGTGCTTTTATTTGTAGAACAAAAAATGTTAATTATTATTAAGTTTTTTTTAATATAATGCTTTTATCCAAAGTGCTTTACAATAGTTAGCTAACGGTACAAACAACATTTGGAAAGATCATTAAGTGGTCTGCTGAGATCCTCAGCAATTTTCAAGTGGTCCGCGAAAAAAAAAGTTTGAGAACCACTGCATTAGAACAATTCTGGGTAGGGGGAAAGCAAGGTTTTGCAAGCTTTTTACAAATGCAACTGCATTTTTTTTAAAGTGCATTTTGTGCTTATTAACCTGGAAGTGACACAAGCACCAGAAATATTAGTATTACTATTTACCTGTCATTACTTCAGCTGCTTCATTTATACAAATGACTGTGCTGCAAAGCAGTGTAGATAACTGTGCTTTTGAGAGATAAGGATGCAAACAATTAAGGCCTAGATCCTAGCTCAGAGTCACGTGCCTAAATAACTTTGCAGATCTGGGTCTAAGTTTATAAGAGCTAAGTGTTATTGTAGAGCAGCATTAAATATTGTTGGGGGATTTGTGTAACCTCTAGCACTTCCATGGGACTTATTTAAATATTATTTTTTTAAATCTCAGTGTATCAGACTTGGACACAATAGCTTGGATGAGTTTGTAGCTGATTATTATCATCATCAGTGTTATTTAACATTTATATCCCAGAGGCCTCAGCCAGGTCGGGGGCCCCATTGTGCCAGGCCCTGTACAAATGTAGAAACATGATGAGTAATTTTTCAACACTATAAATAAAAGCGTATTTTAACTTATTTCTGGTTCTGCTTCTCTTTTGATTTGTGTGTGTTATTCATAATGCTATCACACAAATCGGTGATGTCAGTTCTGCTCAAAGCTACTGAAATTTAGTGAAGGGAGCTGGGACCCTTTCACAGAAAGGCAGAGGGTGTTTAGGGACCTAACTGAATGGAATTGTCCATTTGTTGGTTACAGTTGCGGAAAATGACCAAAAGTTACATGACAGGACAACTGTGAATATTCCAAGAATAGACCAAGACCAAAAAGATCTCAAATAAAGCAAAGCTGATTAGCAAATGGAGAGAGCCACTGGTCACACATTAACAAATGGTATCAGATCGTAACCAGTGCTAGTTTGGGTAACAAGGTTAGCCAGGTATGGCAGGATCTTGTAATTAAGACAAAGAATCACATCTTACAATGTCAGAGCTCAGGTGTTTCAGTGTCTCACTGACCGGCTATCTGTCTCTGTTAGCACTGTAACATTTCAGAACTCCATCTCCCCCGAATCACCAAAACATTATGTGTATGTCAGGTTTACCTGCCTCCTGACACTTATTACAGCAAAGGGGCGAACCTCCTGCATTAGCATCTTAGCTGCAAAGTCACTGGCTGAATAATCTGTTTTCTCAACATTATGGAGACTTTAGCAATCTCTCTTCTAATCAGAAGTTACAGCCCCTCCCTACGGGGCGGCTCCAGGCACCAGAGCAGCAAGTGCACCGCGGAGGGCAGCCTGCCGGTCCCTGTGAGGGCGGCAACAGGGCCACCCAGAGGATTCAGGGGGCCTGGGGTCTTCGGCGGCAGGGACCCCCCGCTGCCGAATTGCCGCCGAAGACCCAGCCCTTTGGCGGTGGGTCCCGGGGTGGAAGGACCCCCCGCCGCAGGTCTTCAGGGCACTTCGGCAGCGGGTCCCAGAGCGGAAGGACCCCCGCCGCCGAACTGCCGCCGAAGACCCGGAGAGGAAGAAGCTCCGGGGGCCCAGGCCCCGCAAGAGTTTTCCAGGGCCCCCGGAGCAAGTGAAGGACCCCGCTCCAGGGCCCCCGAAAAACTCTCGTGGAGGCCCCTGCGGAGCCTGGGGCAAATTGCCCCACTTGCCCCCCCTCTGGGCGGCCTTCGGCGGCATGCCTGCGGGAGGTCCGTTGGTCCCGCGGATTCGGTGGCAATTCGGCGGCGGGTATGCTGAAGCCGCGGGACCGGCGGACGTCCAGCAGAAACGCCACCGAATCGGCGTGACCAGCGGATTGCCCGCAGGCGCGCCACCGAAAGCTGCCTGACTGCTGTGGTTGGGGCGGCAAAACACATAGAACCGCCCCTGCTCCCTATTCCAGTGTATGCACCAGTCTGCCTGCCATTCAATTCTAACAACTTTTTATTTACATAGCTTGTCTCATCTCTGACCAAAGTGGTATATTCTTATTCCTGATTAGGTGGCACTAAACTCTACCTACATTTGTGCTGTATCTGGGCAATTCACACTCTTTAATGGATTAACCTCGCAATCTCTCCTGTGAGGCAGGGCACTGCTATTAGCCCCATTGTACAGCTGTGCAACTGAGGCACAGAGAGACTAAAGGCCAGACCCTCAAAGGTATTTTGGTGCCTAATTCCTGTTGATTTCAATGGGAGCTAAAAGCCTATACAACTTTGAGGATCTGAGCCCAAGGGACTTGCCCAAGGTCCAGGGCCACCTTCAGGCACCAGACGAGAAAGCACATGCCTGGGCCGGCACATTGTAAGGGGTGGCATAGCGGCCAATCTTGGGGCGGCCAGCCCAGCCCTGCAGGGGCACGGACCCCGGTCCGGGTGGGCAGGAACTAGTGATCCCCGCTGCTCATCGTGCTGCCGGGGTCCCCGGGATGCACCACTCCCCGCTGCCTCCACCGGCCTCCACCTCCCGCGCCGCTCTGAGCCCGGCCCAGCCGAGCCGCCTTTAAAGGAGCGGCTGAGCCAGCACCTCCTGCAGCCCCCGGGCACTGGAAGGAGGGAGGGTTCTGCTGCGGCCCGGCAGGCAGCGGAGGCAGGGAGGGAGGGTTCTGCGGTGGCCCGGTGGGCAGCGGTGGCAGGGACGGTTCTGCGGCGGCCCGGCAGGCACCGGAGGGAGGGAAGATTCTGCGGCGGCCTGGCGGGCCGCGGAGGGGCGGGCCTTACTGATCCCGGCACCATTTGCACTGTGCTGAGCCCCGCTGCAATGCCGGCCCCACGCGGAGGTCGTAGACCCCAGCCAGGGCTGCCTGTGTCGGCCCCCTTGGAGCCTGCCCGGCCGGGAGAGACACCCCAAGGCCAGAGGGGGGAGCCCCTCTCGCCCGGCTGCAAGCGGGCTGCAGCGCCTGGCTGACCACGGGTGGAGGGAGTGGGCGGGTGCCACCCTTCACCCCCCTGCAAGCCGCCTTGACCGCCCTCCACACGCTCCCTGTGACTGCCGCCTTTTTTTTTTTTTTGCCTGGGGCGGCAAAAAAGCTACAGCCGGCCCTGCCAAGGTCACACAGGAAGCCTGTGGCAGAGGAGGGAAATGAGCTCAGGTACCTCAAATCCCAGGCTAATGCCCTAACTCCTTTCTTACAGAGGCATTCTGTTGCCTTTACTGTTGATGCCAGCTAGAAGACAACTGTCCCTTAGCCCTAATAATAAAAGGACTACATTTTCTTAATCCAATTTACATAATTCCTCTTGTAGGCTATCCTCTCTTATCACACTTCACTATAAAATGATATTATTGTATCTAGTACTAGGATCAGCCTTTGGAACATATTCACTAAAGAGGGACTCTAACAGCAGAGTTCAGTTCCAGCTCTGGACGCTCTGGGGTCTTCAGATCCAGGTTTAATTTGGGCCAATCTGTACTATTTCTATTTTAAAAGTCCCTGTATACTGCCTTGAACAGAATAAACCCCAATACATTTGAAATTCCAATCAACAGTGAAAGTAACAAAATCTCAGTGTCCATCCACCAAAACAGACCATCTGTTCACTTCATGCAGCTGTGCAGCTGTGCAGCTGCATGTAGACAAAAGCTGCCCACAAGAGGGTTGTTTTACCCTAAATCTTGTTTGGATTATGTACGGAAGATGGCGCTTTCCCTGCTTCAATCGGTCAGCAAACTGCTTTATTTGCCTACAAAAGGAGATTAAATTAGTTAAGGTTGCTTTTCCTCAGTTCTTCCATTAGATGGTAGTAAATACAACAATGCATTCCAACTGCATAATATTTGAGCTGTATAAGAGATGCTGATAACCTGAATTTGGCTCAAAATGTACATCTGTAAAGCCAAACTTTTATAAAACATCATACGCAGAGAAATGGGACTATTTTATTTCCAATGATCCCAATGGCATTAATTCTGATAAAAAGATACTTTTAAACAAAATCACTCCCCCTGATGTGTTGGCAAACTAAACATTACAGCATTAAACTGGAATGCAAAACTGAATACAATATAAACAAAAGTCAAATTGATTTGTCATTCTCCAAGCTGAGAGAAATGCAAGAAAGTTAACAAAGAGCATAAGTAATGACAAGTATTTTGCATTTTAATAATTCTTTCACTTTTAAATAAGGCCTGGATCATGTAAACACATACACACGAGTCACTGAAGTCAAAGAGACTACTCAAATAAAGTGATGCATATGTGTGTTTGGAGGATCAGGACCCATAGTCATAGTAATATCATAGGAAAAGACATTTTATTTGCTTGCACCATATGATTTTTTAAGCTGTGTCTCTTTAAACCTTTCAGAATTACTATAAGCACTTCACCAGTAACAGAGAAATTTTCAAAATTAAATTCCATTTCAGAGCACTGCAGAAAATCTTAGTAAACAACAATAAACCAGCTGAGTGCCTGCAGCCATACCACTTTGTGGGCTGCTCCTTAAAAGCGGAGCACAATTGGACTGAACAAGCACTTAGATCATGACACATTTTAACAGATCATTGCACAAAAGTTCAAATACACAAACTGTTTGGTCTCAAAAAGCCACTTCTCAAATTCTCTCTGTTTTCACTGTTTAAGGTATTATTTACTCTTATTGGCATATAAAATATACACCAAATGAAGCACAATAACTAGCACTTTTCATCTGCAAATCTCACAGTGCTTTACAAAGGAGGTCAGTATCATTACTCCCACTTCACAGATGGGGAAACTGAGGCACAGAGCCGTGAAATGACTTACCTGAGAACACCCAGCAGGCCAGCAGCGCAGCTGAGAATTAGAATCAAGCTTTTCCGAATGCCAGTCCAGTATCCTATCCATTGGATGCAGAGAGTCCTTTGCTTGCTCCATAAGCTACAGTTTAAAAAGTGAAAAATTAAAAACTGATAAAAGGAAATACTTTCTCATTGCCACCAGAAGTCATGGAGACCAGTCTCTACACAGAAACTCGGAGTCTGAACTAGTCAGATGCTCCCACATGGTATTAATGGACACTGCCCTGCTTGGCTTTCACATGTGTTTGAATGATGTCAACATATTAGATTTGTTCATTGTTAAACTCTTGAAACATCAGCTGTGAAATGGGTAGACTGCATGTTATGAAGGTTTTCCACAAACATTGTTAACTATTTAGGACGATGTTTACTATCTACTGTAAGCACATCACAACAGTGACTGGTCCTGTATAATTTGTACAGTGCCTAGTACATTTTGGGCACTACTGAAAATAAAAATGAGGAGGGGGCTTACTTTTAAATGGCACTCCCAGCAGAGTTTTGCAAAAGTTGACAACGAAGCAAGTGACTGCACAGTTTCACTCAGCGTAATGTACTGACACAGGCCAGAGGCCACAGACACTGGCCACACTCTTGTTAACTATATGTAGCCAACTAGGTAATAGCTTTAAGCAGCAGAAGACAGAAGCTATAGAGGGAGATGGTGCATGGACAAAGCAAAGGCATAGGAGGAAAGTGGGTGAGGCTGTACAGTGACTGGGGAAGGTAAAAAAATATGCACGGCAAGGGTACTTAGAGCAAAGTAGGGAGTGCTGTGGGTGGTTGAGGCAGCTGGGCAGAACCTGGGTGGGGGGAGCTGTGGGGGGCAGAGCAGCTGGGGGGCTGGAACAATTTCTGTGGTGGGGGTGCTAAGAGCCATTGAACCAAACTGTCAACCCTGTATATCATGGAAACCACTTCAAGCCAGGGGGTGCGGCAGCCCCCTCGCCCCTGTAGTTCCAGCACCCATGCAGAGCAGTCACGTAGGAGATGTGTGGGTGACAGGGCAATTGGCGAGGGGATGGGCAGCACGGCGAGTGGCTGGGCAGACTGGCAGAGGGTGGGTCGCTGGGGGTGGCAGGGCAGGGGGTGGGGAGGACATGGGGTGGGTAAGATGTGGTGGCGGTGGGGTGGGGCAGAGGGGTACCGTGGGATGGGGCGCAGTAGAGGTGGGACAGTGGGGCAGCACATAGGGGCAGAAGGTGCGGTGGGACCGGGGCAGTGGGGTGAGAGGGCACAGTGGGGCAAGGGGCATGGTGGGGTTGCGCAGTGGGGCAGAGGGTGCAGTGGGGGGGTGGGCGCAGTGGGCCAGAGGGCTCGGTGGGGCGGGCAGTGGGGCAGAGGGCGCGGAGGGGGCGGGGCAGAGGCTGGGGGGGCGCGGCAGTGGGGCAGAAGACGCGGTGGGGGCGGGGCAGAGGCCAGGGGGCGCGGCCGCGGCGGGCAGTCCCGGGGCAGCCTTGGCGGCGTTGCGCAGCTCCTCGCGCCCGAGTCCCGGCCAATCTGCGGCCTCGGCAGCAGGAAGCAGGAAGCGCCGGGCGGAGGCAGGAGCAGCCGGGCCTGAGCGTGGATGGGGTGAGGGGCATAGGAGGGGAGGGGTCACGGGGTAATGGGGGGGCAGGAAGGCGGGGGGGGGCAGAGGGGAAGGTAATGGGGCAGGAGGGGAGGGGACGGTACTGGGGAAGGTCCTGGGGCAGGAGGGGTGGTGGGGCAGAGGGGAAGGTAATGGGCAGGGGGATGCGGAAGGGGGGTAACCGGACATGGAGAGAGGCAGGAAGGAAGGGGGGCCTCAGAGGGGTGGGTTACTGGAGGGAAGGAGAGGGCAGGGGAGGGCAATGGGGATAGTGGAGGGGGAGCCTGGGTCAGGGGCCGTGAAGGTGCTGGGGGCAGGGCAGAGGGGTGAGCCTGATGGCCCAGGTGCACCTGGCAGGTGGAGGTACAGACGGATTCGCAGGGCACCCTGCCCCTTTGCTGCAAATCCCAGTTAGGGAGCCCATGTGCCCTTGCACCAGCTGCTGGATGTCATAGTTCCCTTTTTACCCCTGCTGTGCTCCAACTGTGGAAAAATGAGAAGCGTGGAGCAGAGAAAAGGCCTTGGCCTTAGTTCAATAACAAACCAACTTGCAAGTGTTCGCGCTGCAGCTCTGGGGTGGTGGGAAGTGATCCCTTAAAAGGGGTACCCTCAGGCAAGGAAGGTCCAAAATTTCAGTATTGTACCAAAATACAAAATTTCAAGCAAACCTGGTGTCAACAGAAGTAATCTAATTACGGAACAAAATTTCAAGGCAATATTTAAGGTTCTTTTGGCGGGGGGGAGAGGGGCTTTCGACTTATTGCTGTCGTGTTTTGCAATCCAGCATGCTATTGCATGAGAGCCAAATGCTGACAAGGGCTCTGATGCTGCAATTGGAGCCCTGCCCCCATGCAAAGTCCCATGGTCTTAAACGGGGCTCTGTGCGGACTCAGGTGCAGGATGGGGTTTAGCTTTTTTTCCATTATTGCTCATGCAGAGTGAGGCACAGATGGGAAACCAACAGCATAAATGGTGAAATGTAAATTTGATTTTTAAAATTTGTTCAGATTTAACATCCTTGGGTCTTATTAGTAATGTAGGTGAGGAAACTTGTCTTTTAAAACAAACAACGAGGAGTCCGGTGGCACCTTAAAGACTAACAGATTTATTTGGGCATAAGCTTTTGTGGGTAAAAACCCACTTCTTGAGAAAA